ATGTAATGGGCAAGAACTTCTGGTTGGTCATTGAGTAACTGGCATGTTGTATTCTGCAGCTCCCCCAATTTATCAGTGAAGGAGACATTCTTAAGGTAATCTCGCACGTACGTTGAGCAATGTGGTGGTGTACCATCCAATTGGAGAAAGAAGCATTCAATGTCGTCCTGCAAATGAGGCATTAATCAAAGAGTAAACAAATCTAAAACATCGCTCCCGTGACTTGCTCTTGAAAAAAGAAGGGTACTAAATTGCTCTCAACACAGCCTAAAACACATTTACATTTGTGTTTGAGATTATCTGTTCTCCGAAAAGCAAACAAGCTTACATTCCAACAGATGCAGAATGTTGCTTCATCGACAAAAAGTTAAGTGGAATCACTGTTAATCACTAACACTGTACTTAATTCAGATACCTTAATATGCAATTTTAGGAAAAATTGGATTACTGGTTCAGGGCATGTTCACTGATTAAGGGGTCACACAGAGAACATCTGTAAGCATTTGTAACAAAACTTTAAACAATCCTATACAATTCCGTTGCAGGTAACATACATCTTACATTGTTCTTTATTTACAGCACATTGAAATTTCGTACTTCTTTAAGAATTAGCCTTTACACTAAGCATCAGCTTACATTAAACAAAATAAAGAGCATAATTCTAGAAATTCAGAAAATAAAATTTGAATCATTGCATTCTTAAGTAAAAAGTACCGTTTGATTTCAATTATTTGAAACTTGCCAAAATTTAAAAACCAGCCAACTTTACAACGTTCTATCGATCAATAATATTAAATGTGCCAATTTACTGATGTTACTAATCGAATTCTTACTTTTGTTTACTTTTGGAATTTGTTTATTTATACCAGTTTGGGTGAACATGAGATCTGTCACCAGAAAGTAAGGTTGTCTAATGCATATCATACTATGCTATCATACTTTATCATAGCTTAGAATGCACATTTACTTTAAAATTCAAGATAATTATAACAATTTAATTTGGTTAAATTGCGCTGGCATCAACTTTATGAAAATATTGTTTTTGTTGTTGTTCATTTACGTCGCACTAGTGTTGCACAATGGGCTATTGTCGATGGTCTGGGAAACATCGCTGAGGATGATCTAAAGACATGCCATCACATTTTTGATCCTCTGCAGAGAGGATGGCATCCCCGCTTCGGTAGCTTGACGACCTGCGCGCGAAGTCGAGCACTTTACGGTAGCACAGTTTAACGAGGACCAATACTGCACACCCTCGGTCCCTACGCAGGCTGATCCAAGTGGTCACATACCAGCACACTGACCGTAGCCAGTGATGATTGACTTCGGTGATCTGCTGGGACCCATGTTAACAATCAGTTCACTGCGGGACCTTTATGCAAATAAGTATAACATGTAATAAATATACTTGTCACTCATAATTCTATTCTAATTGTAGTCTCTATAACCAGAACGCTTACGAGTAACAGTAAATGTTTTTGTCCCAATTTGACAGCAATGTTGCTTTTTATCTACTTATTTTTTTAAAAATGTTTTTATTTATCCTCAATTTCGTAGTAGTTTCAATTTATTTTATGGAAATTTTTCAATTTGATATTGTTAAAAACACAGAAAAATATCATTATTATTATTGTTTTACAAAGTTTCACACATTCTTTTTGGAAAAATCTTTTTATTTTATATGCTCTTTCTTGTTATCATGAGACATTGCACATCTGTCTGGTTTTAAGTCCCTTTTAAGTGATATAAACCCCTCTATGTGCCTTTCTTAGGAAGGGTATGTCATTTGAAATTAATGTTTATGGCTCTATTTTTCACAAATCACAGTCAGCAGTAATTTTTTTCATTTCTTGAGGGTTTACTTAACTGCACATTTTCGTTTCTTAAAATTTCTACTCATTAAATCTTAATTATATATTAACAATACTCAGGGACTGATTTAGCCTAATTGGGGCAAGGGGCAAAACTTCTTTGAGGCCCCCTCTGAATCACTAATAAAGAACTGTACTTTACTTCTTTCAATGGTCAGGGGAGGTATCGTTTTGTCCATTTTATTCTTTTCTGACAATTCTATGTCCATCATGCCGAATGCAGTTCTCTGATTATTAACTTTGTCACCTAGCTGCAAAAAATTTATATCCTTGCTGCCATTGGGGCGGAATTAAGCTAAATTTTCGCAATTAGGATGGCTTAATTAAGTCAATCAGAAGCCCATCTTTTTGTAAACATATCGCATTTTGTGATATGTGAAAATACAGGTTTTTGATTTACCAAATTGTGAAAATTTAGCCGAATTCCGCCTTAGAAAGCTATGGATCTACAAAGTATAGATTTTTTGTGTTCATACGATAGATTAGTGAAGAAGCTAACATAAAACTAGCAGATTTTACAATGTTTAGATATTTTGTTTAAAAAAAGTTCATTAAAGAAGGAAATGTAAAATAAACTTTCCATTCGATTTGGGGGTCCGGGGCAACTGCCCCATATGCCCCTGCCTTAGCCAGGCTCTGACTGGAAGTTGTCCTCAGAATTTTCACTTATTAGACCTTTTCAATTTTTGCACCATTATTTTAAACATTAGCTGTCAAGAGTGCCACCTGACCTCAGTTGCTGCTGGTAATATAGAAGTATCTAGAATTTATTAAGATTTAATTTACAAAGCCATGCAAAGAGAATTCATGGATTTATTGGGGAATAAAATAGAAGAAAAAGAATATTGTTGTTCGACCTTAAATAGTATAATTTGTATTCTAACTTTTGAGTATCATTAATCTTATTCTAACTTCTTTTTAGTTATAAACTGTGCAACAAACTTCATCTGAAAAACCGTAAGTTTTCTTTCACTGACATAGAGCATCATTTTAAGTTAATAAATTGCCTATTAGATGCTATGTTTTCCTTGCAGTCATAGAGCCTTATCCTCACAACATAAGGTTATTTTTACAGTTTTGAAAAAATAGTTTCGCAATCTAAATTCTACAGCAGGGAGGTATTTCTACAGAAGGCATGGCACTACTCATAGCAAAAAACATGATTATTTTAACACTGTATAACAATTTTAATGTGCTTGTTTTTAACATTAACTGACAATAACCATAAAAAATACATTATACCTAAAAAGTAAAAAAGAGATAATTAACCTTAGAAATGCATCTTACATTAATTTCACTAACTTTAAAAAAAATAAAAAACTTTCATTTGCTAAATTTTTTTAACAGCAAACATTCAATTAATAAATGTAAGATAATTTATAAGAGTGAAACACACTAAGTTTGCAACATAAACCAAATTTATGGGAAAAGTTTAAAAAAAATTATAATAAATTTTTTTTAAAAAAAACTAGGTAACAATATAATAACATTACTTGACTATAAATAATCAAACATTGGTTCAAAATTGATACCAGACAAAAATGGCAAAAACAATATAGCATTTCAGAATTTTTTTTTTAATGTAGAGTTATACTTAAATAGTGCAAGATAGCATCACGAAAAAGATAAAAATATTGTAAGAATAAAAATCATACACGCAAGGCAATTAACACCAGCATAATTCTTTTAGTTTTAATTGCTAGAACTATAAAGCTCAGAAGATGTTTCTGTATCGTGATCTGCCATGCCAACTACAATCTCCAAATTGATTTTAAATGGGAAAATTAAAAAAAAAAAAAAAAGTTTTAGATGTTTCCCCAGGGGAGGCTACAAGTTATACCCTTCGAGTTGGTCGCTTTCTGTGATGTTTTTTTTTTTTTAAATTTCTCACGAGCCGAGCCGCTGTCCAGAAGTTGCCAAGACTTGGCGATTATTCTGCCACAGATCACGATACAGAAATATCTCCTTTGATAAAGAAATGCTTTTTAAAATAATTAACCATACATATTGATAAAGATATCCAACTCAAAATGAATAGCTATATAAATGGAAGAAAAATGTTTGATTCTGAAGATTTGCTTGAAACTTTTTGATGTCAGATAATAACATCCACAAGGTAGTCTAAAATGTACTTCAGTTTGTGAAAATATGTAATGACTCAATTTAAGAAATAAAATTGAGATTAAATTTAAATATCTCTGACGAATTTAAAAAGTAGGTCAAATGACAAGAATTGCATTATTAAATCAAAAATATTCACAATGATCCAAAATAAAAAAGTAAACAAAAAACATAGGGTAAGATCATTGACATCAAGATATTCTATAAGTCAGTAATTAAAACATCAGATTTCAATTTTATCCAGTAAACTGGTAGGCACTAGCAATAAAAAGCCTTATTCTCCAACGAAATAAATTAAAGATAAAAAGGAAAAAAATATCTAATGCTAGAACAAAAAGATAAATTACAAAGCAGTATAATAAATAATACTAATGTAATTTTATGCTTAGTTTATGCTAAGAAATTTATTGCTGACGGTTGATGAAATTTTGTACGAGCTAACATTTCAAATATCAGTAATCCAAATAATATTGCAAAAGAGTTATAAATGAAATTATGTTTGCTGTTGATAATTTCAAAAATAAAATAATAAGATTTTTCTTTGAAATGCATCTCATTTAAAAGCTGGCAAAAATTGTAATATGAGGAAACGTTGAAAGGTGATATAGATATAATAATATTTATTAACAAATTAAAGTATTACTCAAATGACACCAAACAGTAACTTACGTGTCATTTTGGAACTCTAAAACAAAACAAAAATTAAGTCAAAGAGAGCCAGTTAGACTGAGGACCAACTACAATTTTCACAACACAATATTTCTCCGAGTATAATAAGAAAAATTGCTCTGCATATAAATATTGACTCTTTTTGATGATTTCAATGCGGTTACAGTTTACTAAAATTTTAAAAATTTTCCCGTTTATAAAACGAAATAAAAAAATTCAATAAACCAGCTTATCTTTTTTTTTAAATTTTAGTTACTAAGAATAAATGCTTAAAGTAAAAATTTTGCCTTGATTCTTTTAATATTTTATTTGCACATTCGCGCATTTAAAGGAGCAGAGATCTGTTTCCGCTCGCACAGAGTAGCCGCATCACGCTATTGGTCAAGAATGACATCAATAGTTTTGATTTCTGTTGATTGTTTTGGATTGGAATCGAGAGGCTTATTAAAATTCTAATATTTACTGGGAAATAATAAGTCGTAGGATAATATTTACGTAGTCTGTTCGATTAAAAGTAAGTATATTTATATCTTATTAAATATTTCTTTGTTTTAATTCTATTCTTTTGTCTTGAAATTGCATTTACTAATATGTATAAATACACTTTTTATGGAAGCAATGACTAAAACGCATATATTTTTTGATTGCCACTGAATATATTTTAATGAATTTCTAATAATACATGTTTTTAAATAGGTTGATTAAAAATTTTAAAGCGCAGAAATACAAGTATTTCAATATATATAGTTGGTATTTTATCTATTATAAACTTAATATCTAGAACTCATTAGTTAATAACAAAATGTAATTATTAAAAAACCCCACTATGGTGTTTTCATTTAATTCATATAAATTCTACTTCTTTTAATTTTTTGGGGGGTAAAGTCATAATTACATTGATAAGAATATTAAGAATCTGCCTCAGAGGACAAAATACTTTTGTTACCCCACTGATCTTAATATTTTTTTTTGTTAACTCAGGGATTGTCACAATATATATTCAGATGGACTCTGACGATGAAATATTACCAGAAGATAGAATATTTGATACTAGAATTGATCAAATCTGGGCAGAAAACATGGAAGTTTACCAAAGTAAGCAAAAACTACTTATATTAATATCAGTTTTGTTCTTTGATTTTTATAGTTATGCGTGTAGTGTTTACACTTCCTTCTTAGTTTATAAATAAATTTGATGGGAAGATATCTGTATTTCTGAACAATTCTATTTCCTTTCAATTTTTCAGATTATAATACAATATTATCACATTTCAAAGTAAGAATGATCTCATTTTCATGCACTAATTTTGTAATTGCACCCTTTTAATGGCATAGTTTTAATATCTTAATAATTTTAATGCTCTATTATTAAAACAGCCAAAATTTTGCAAGTCAAGATTCATAGAATTTATTCTAAATCATAGAAATTGCCAATTATTTCTTTAAAAATTTTCTTTCATACAGAATATTTTTATAGGATTCTTTTTCTGACAATTCTATGGCCTAAAATATTATGTGTCACTGAAGAACCACAACCTTTTATGTTAAATACAATACCCATTTATGAAAGTATAGTTTTCTATCATGAAAAAATAACACATTTTTTGTTTCCAAAACCCTGCCTTTTTTATAAGTATAGAATGAATCTTAGAGAGTCACCTAGATAGATAATTTTAAGGAAGACAACTTTAATCTATGAATGGCATCGCTAAGGTTGTACGATAAAAAGATCCGAAAGTTATGTGTTAAATATCATTAATATAAGCTGGAAAATTGTATTGACTTTGATTGGAGGAGTTCATATAAATAGTTCTTGTTCAACATTTAAGGGTCTAAAAGTGCAAATTTATTTTATTATTGATTTATTTTATTTAGCTGAGCCTTACTATACCACAATTTTTTTTTGTTGTTCATCTTGTAGTAGTTCTTTTAACCAAAACCACATTAGTAGTAAAAGAAAAAATGTATTTCCTAAAATAAAAGTTTAAAAATCTTGTATTAAATTAAATGTATCAAATTTAGTACATAATTTCAATATAATAACACATGCGATACCTAGGAGCAAGAAAATAGTATAAAACTGCGTTATTTATTTGAACTTTTATACATGTATTAATATATAAGATTATCCATTCAGTAACCCTTTTATATTCCATTTGTAAAGCAGTATTACGTTAGTTTCATCACTACCAAGTTAAATGTAATGTAATATAGCTTTAAAAATTGCTGTCATTAACCATGGGTTTGCTACTGATATTAAAAGAGGAGATCATGCCCTGGTTGTAACTGTAAGAAAAAACTTATTAATATTGATTCCAATAATTTTAAAAAGATTAAAGTTGAGCCTCAGTAAAAGTGAAACCGTTTAATCTGAAATATCGCGTAATCCTCCTGGCGGCGGACCCGTAATAACTCGGATTTGATATCTACACGTAAAGCGGCAAGCCCGGAATAACTCGGGTTGCCTGTCTGCCTCTCTAGCGGCGCGCCCGAGTTTTTGACTGGTGTTTACTTTCTGTTGGATTTTGTTGAGAGCAAATCAGACTGAAAGTCACGTAGAACAAACTGAAAACTTAACTTTATTTACATAAAAAAGANCCAATTACGACAGATTTCATGAGGAAAAGCACGAAGTATTTTAGGAGCCAAAATTCTTCCGTATGATTGAGTTTTTTCTCCTAAAGCATCTAAAGCCTGTATTCTTCGATTACAATCAATATATAACTCATTTATTGCTGCTGGAGAGTGATTTTTGACAGGTTTTAGGTTTTCTAAATAATCGAGATGAGCCTGTATTATTTTATCTTTATCGCCATATTTCGATTTCAAAATATTCTTTGTTGTTGCATATGTTTCTGCAGTTATATTAATTCCATCAACTATTCGTTTTGCTTCTCCATCTAAATATCCCCGCAAAAAAACATGCTTGTCAATCAGCGATAAACTTTCGTTTTTGTCGATACAGTTTTCAAAACGCTCCCAAAAACTATGGAATTCTTCAATTTCGCCGTAAAACGTATTTATTTTTATTGTAGGCAACTTTACTGTAACATTTGAAGGCGAAGCTGAAAAATTATTTATATTGGCAGCTGTTGGCGATGTTTCAGAAATTGAATTCGTGTTCCGATTCGCTGTTCTTTTGAAATTAAATAACGCCAAATGAGCATATTCTGTGTATCTTTCGCATTCTATTATGTCTTCCTGATATTCTTCATCATTTAAAAAATTATGTATTTCATCGTCTGCCAAGGTTAATTCTTTAATTTTATCTTGTAAACGTTCAATGTTGTATTCTTTTTCAGTTTGTGTACTAGCAGCATCGTTCAATTTAGTCGTTAGTTTCGTAATGGCGGTACGTAGCGTCGTTCATTTGCGTTTAAATATTACAAGTTTTTCACTACCGGTAGCCATTCCAATTCAGAACTTTGACGAAAGTAATTATAAAAGGTTCAGTATGACTTACCGAATTATTTTGGCACCAAATGTTGGATTTTGTTGAGAGCAAATCAGACTGAAAGTCACGTAGAACAAACTGAAAACTTAACTTTTTTTACATAAAAAAGAATATAAAAACAATAAGATGTTGCCAGCACAGGAAACTCAAACTATCTAACTAATCTCGAACTCAAACCTCAACACTTTCCTTCCCCTACGACCGCCGACTGGGTACTAATTGAGAGGTGGGGATAGCCGTCATCATAAATCACAGAGGAGTTGTGAGTTTATTTTAGAGTTCATTAGTAGTTAAATTGTACTGATAGCAAAAGTTGTCGGTGAAGGGGAAAAATTAATTTAATGTTTTATTTAATTTTATTTATTTATTTTAATTATTTTTCTTTTGCTAATACCAAATTAAACATTTCGTTGCTTTCATTGCTGTTTAATTTTCATTATTATTTTTTTTTAAATTGAAATTTTTCTTGGTAAAATTAGAGAAGTGTGGGGGGGGGGATATATTATCGCAAATTACTTTTACAGGGTTCCCACGGTCCTTGAGAGTCCTTGAAAGTCCTTGAATTTTTTTTGGCTAAATTTAGGTCCTTGAAAGTGCTTGAAAAACGTCTTAGGTCCTTGAAAAACTTGATAGGTCCTTGAATTTGTCCAATACTGCCGNCTTACTTTAGATTTTGACTTATTTTATTTCTTTCACATTATTTTAAAAATTTTCAAGCAAAGAAGGATATGAACTAAAAGAAAATAATAATAACAATAAATAAATAAAAAACAAATAAATAAAAGTCTGTTCTTTTTTTTTTTTTTTAATGCTTTAAGCATTTTCTTTGAATTATCGCATCTGAAATTTATACAGAAATAAAATTAAAAAAAAAAATTGAACAGAATACGAAAGACAGATATTGAAATTTTTAAAAAATAGCTTGCATATTCAAAAATTTTTTTGCAAAATGAAAAATCTTATAACTACAAAGAAACCAACGAGATTAAATATCTTTTTAAGTTTAATTTTAATTAAAAGTTTCAAGTTTATATAAAAACCATATACTAATACTTTGAAGCAATTTTCCCCAGCTAAACTCTGATTACTTCCTGTGACAATTTTAATATCAAGTGAAACTATCAAGTAATTTATTAATAATGTGAGTAAAATTTTTAAAACTAAATAAGATACTTGTTTTATTGCGTCATAATAAAGGAATTTAACGAATTGCAAATTAGCATGAATTTCGGATAGCTCTTATTATTTAGCAAGAAATTACTTAGTAGTTTTCTTCTTCCTCATAAAGTTATCTATAATTTTTTAAACTAATATTGTTTAAAAATGTATCCAAAACTAACTTCATTTTAGTATAAAAAACAATACTAGGTAAAAAAAAGAGCATAAAAATTTTTTTATTTCTTAAAAGTTTTTTTTTCTATCAAAATTCTTTAATAATACTATTCTTATGTATTTGTTTCAAATTTCTGTTTAATTATAATCAATACATATTAAGGACAATAATCAAAAGAAAAGGCAACGCAAAGTTAAGTTTTTTGTATTACACAGTTTTTTACTCTTACTTGACCAAAAAAAAGGCCAAACAATCTAATATTTATTTAGTAAGATGGAAAAAAATTTTCGAAAATTAATATTAGAGAAACTAAGGAAAATTATTTTTACTAGATAATTTAGCGAAATAAATATGTGCTAAGATAGCATTTCGAACGGTTTAAAAATGTGTAATTTTTTTACTTATGAATTAACTGCCAAATAAATTTGACAACAAAGCATTTGTTTCAAAAATATCAAATATGATGGTCCTGCAATTTTGGTTGTGGTTAAAATTCTAGAAAACATCGTTGAAGGTGTTACAATAAAATTATCTGCGAGCTAAAGTATGGATAACTTTTAAAATTATATATATATTTNACTTTATAATTTTGGACAATAAATTAAATGTTTGGTTTTAATTTGTTTACTGTTAGTTAAGTTCTGTTCTATCCCTCCTTTTTCAAATTACATATATAAATACGTTTCTCATTGCAAGCTATTAGGCAATAATTTTTCTCCGGAAATGTTTTCTTGTAAGAGGACCGGCAGAGAAGAGAGAAATTTAAAGACTAGGTTTAAAAACAGAGTGTCAAGGATTCAGTGAGTGATTTATCCTTTTTTCCAGAAATGTACAAAGCTTGGAATTCCACACAATTAGCAACTACTGGGCTGCGATACAGGAAATGACCCCTTGCAGAGAAGGAAATATCACTCTTTCAAAACGCGAATCTTCCCCCATGCATTGACTATACCTATTGTAATCTTAGAAAGTGATTCTTCAAGAAATTTGTTGCAACATTTGCTTTCATTCTTTGAAAACTAACACTTAGTACACAGTGTTGACCCCAGGATATCTTCAGTTTCCTTCAATTAGAATGTATTATTGCTTCAAAAGAAAGCGCAAAATGAAATATGCTACCTCTTTTTTTTCACTAATAAGTTCACTAATAAAATAGCTAAAATGGTCATGTCATCTAGTAAAAGTAGATTTAATATAAAACTTTGAAGTAGTGTAAATAAAGGGAGTATATACTCTCTATCAAGGCTCCCAAAAGCTGAATATAGACCATTCTCAAAGTCTAAAATAGTTTGGTGACATTGAATTTTTTCACTTTATATTTAATTGGTAAAAAGATTGTCAACTGCAAATATTTTATGTTGCAAAAACTTTTAATCAATTATCTCTTATTGGTGTTGGATTTTCATGAAGTCGTGATTTCTTAAATAATGTTTGCTTTTTCCTTTTTCTAGATCACTAATTCCTAACTAAACTCTATATAATTTGTCCACAGCTTCTCAAACTGATTTCTATTCTTATTTCAGAATATGTAATTACTTTACTAACTTATAAACTTTAAATTTTAATAGGGATATCAGAATCAATACAGTTCGTGTTTACTGAGTATATAATTATATTGAATCAATCAGTCATCATAAAATCGTTCCATTTAATGAAAAAAAATTTTGATTTTAGAATCGAAGGATTTTAAACCCGTTTTTATAAAGCTCTTACCAGCAATTTATGAATAGTAGTATGAACAAAAGATTTTCTTTCATGCATTATTTTGTATCAAATTAGTTACCACTTTAAAATCATTTCTATTTTTAAAAATTTCTCAAGAGCTAATAAGAAATTTTTTGATAATCTTAACTTCAGACTTTTAATACTAGTTTGAATTTCGTTATTGCTGAATATATTTCAATTAATCAGATTTGAAAAATATTTTGTGAAAGAAAATGCGTGCAAAGAGTTAGAAGATGACTACGATTATGCTCTTACTCTAGTGATCTTCCAAAAAATGTGAATAGTACCTATATAAAAAAAGGAAATTAAAATTTTATACAAAAAGACAGAGAATTTAAACATAAATATAGGAGTCGTAATTAATTGTTTTTTGTTCTTTTTTAACATTATGAGTAGAAAATTGTTTTATTCTGAGAATACTTTATTAAAAAGTGATTTTTTTAAAAACTAAAGTAATATGATTTTCATTAGAGAAACCAATGTTTAAATTAAATCACAAAATATGAAGTTTGATTGAAATATTTAGTTTTCCTGATTGAAATTCTAAACCTGGTCATATTATTATACTATAACTGAAAAATTAGGTTCAAATTCTGTTTAGTAGGGTTACATATTTTTAAATTGGCGTGTGCAAAGGATATATGATTATGCAAGAAATTGAAGAAAAGAAATCTTTTAGTCACAGTTTGGATCATTCTGTGATTTCTTTCAATGACGTTTACTGATATGGATAGAGACTGGATATATAAATAAATATGAAGGAATCGCAAAAAATGGAACCATTTCAAGAATATAAATTCATAAATGTAGATTATGATCTTTGTGATTTTTTAAATTTACGTTTGTTTATTATAGGTTCGTTTTATTTATTACTAAAAAAATTTTTTTCTTCTTTTTTTTGTTCAATTATTGATTTGTTATAAAATAAAAAATGTATACAATTCAAAATTCCAATAAAAGTAATACTGAGAAAAAATTTTGAAATCAATAGTAAATTCAAGTTTATATTTTTCCTTTATTCTTCTTTACACCGAAAAAGTAGAGATTTTAAACAAAAATAACCACAAGAGGAAATTCTATAAAAAGTTTGCAATTAACCACTAAGTTTTTCATTTTAAACTTGTTTCAAGCTATTCTCTTAATCGTTATCTTATAGTTCATACCTAATGTCTACGGCATGCATAATGTGATAAATACTATTGAATATTCATAGATATCATAGACAAAAAAAGATTTTGCCAAAATGTTTCAAATACAATCTGTTTGAAACATTGAACTATTTAAAATCAAGCCTACTTTAAATAATAGTTGCTCTCGAGGTATCCACCTTCAAGTCAATCTAAAAACTGAAGAAAAAATCGGAGAACTGCAAAGAAATGTGAAAATGAATGCTCTTTGGATATCTTCTTATATTAAAGTTAAAAAATAAATTTTTTATTGAGTTATACAATGAATAATTTTTTAGAGTGATTAGGGGGTGTGCTCGTTTTTATTAACACCAACGTTTATTTGGGCCAGAATTCCCTCAAGTTAGAATTTTCACTTATATTTCCTGTACTTTACTTGTACATTTTTTTAAATTTATTTTTGAATGCCTGAAAATTCAAATAGAATTAAATCTGTTAAATTCTGAAAAATTCAGAAAAATAAAAAATTTTGATCAGAAACAAAATGAATAATAGCAAACCAAGCTAATAACCATGCAACACATAGTTTGCATCGATTAAAAAATATTACGGGCAATTTTTAAAATTTTCATACGTTAATAATAGCATTGAACCAAGAAATATAACGATTTAAAGGATACGCATTACTATTTTCAAACTAATTTAAATATTCCATCATGTTATTCAGAAATTTCTCTTTCCTTATTTCATTTTTCCTGAAATAAATTTCAATTTGAAATGTGATAAAGTTTAGCAAGGAAAATGTCTATATAACTTTATAAAATTCATCCAATTGGTCTCTAAACTTTCTAATTTATTCTTTACAAGAATTTGAAAGCTGGCTTCTCAAAAAAAATAAAATGTTATTTGAGAACTTACTAATTTGAAGACTGCCAAATAAGAAAATGTTCCAAAATGCCAAAGTTCTGATTTTAGTATCGAATAAGAAAACTATTTCCCTTTATTAGCAATAAACTATTACCAATTTACAAAACCATGAAAATTCTACGGAAATGAGATTAAAAAGAACACAATAAAGTTTGCATATTTTAATAAACCATTTATATTGCTTTCGAAATGAGATTGCAAAAATAATTATNTAAACTGGAATAAAATTTGTCTAACAATCTTTATCAACGAGAAAGGCGAGGGCCATACAGTCATGTCTTTTAAATATAAATTGTAAAAAGATCAAAACATTCTGGAAACAAACACTGAATTGCAGGAGGATTCAAAAAAGATAGTTGAAAAGTGATCTACAAAACGAGTTCCATCCATCAAACTGTCATTCCCTTGGCTGACCCTCCCATCCAAAAGCTGACCACATAGAGCGTAAATAATTCCCTTAACAGCGAATGGAAAAAAAGGGGGGAGGCATTCCTTTTGTCTGACCCTTGCCGTTTCACGGACAACTCTGTTAAATATGCTCGACCTTCTAAGAGAAAAACTATTTTAAGTAAGCTCCACCAAGAGGGTTAACATGAAATACATGTTTGGTCCTGTGAGTCAGCAATCAATTATTGTTGTATTATACAAGTGTAAGTTGAAATTTTCTGGCTGATGATAAAATCCCAATCATTCATTTTGAGGAATTCTATTTTCTTCCTTTGTTTGAAGTTGCAGATCGGCAAATAAATAAAATAGTTAAAATAAAAGTTTAATAAAGTAGTTATAACTTTAAAGCTTATTTAAATTTTTTTTTTCCAAATGAAATTGTTTGTATACATTAATGTAGTACATGACATGTATTAATAGTACAAAATAAATTGTTATCATGATGTATTATATAAAACAAAATTTGGTTAACATGAAATAATTATGATAGTCCCACCAATTTCGTGTTAACGGGGTTCAACTGTATTATTGTAGGTATCGTAAGCCTATAAATAAGTTAATAAATTTAAGATAAAAATTAATAAAAAGTTAAAATATTTAAATAATATTCATTATTTTTTCTGTATAAAGATGATAGTTTATTAATTTATTGATAATTTATTCTATTATTATTTTAGAGTCATTTATTTTTGAAGATGATGATGAAGAAATATCAGAAGATAATAAAGAGAAATGCTTGAAAAATGATCAAGGTATTTATAATATCAATTAGTTTTTGAATTATTGCTTAAACTCATTTGTATTTTTTAAAAACAAGTTCACAATTCAAAACTTATCTTTCTACATTTTTTGTATTAATCTTTGAGTTTTATATCATATAAAACTTTATTCGTAATTTTATTTTCTTAATGTGGAATATTTTTTTATCTGTATATATTTGATGAAATCTAACTCACAGTTCTTTTCTTTAAGATTAAAAAACAAATGATAACAAAATTATTTTAAGAATGTGTTTATTACCCTCAGATTAACTGATAATTATTAAATATAATGGATAACACAAGGAGCCTAATCAACACAAATAGTACTCAGCTGTGATAGTTTTAAAAAATATCTGCACATTGAAGAATCTTTTAAGCCTTTAGTTCCTAATTTCTATTATTTTTCCAGTAATTTCATAAAAATCCATTTTTTGCTCACTATTCATATTTGCAGGTTTAACTAGATTTTAGAGGATTTTGTACTAAATTTAAATTTTCTTAAAAATTCTTAAATAAATTTTATTTATTTATCCTCTAAGTTTTTCTTCATCTGCCTTTAGTTTTTATTCTAACTAATAATTTTATTATCTGTTGAGATATAATATTGATTGTAGAGTTATATCAAATGGTTCTTAATATAAAACTATACATTAGTGATTCTGCTATTTTTTGGTAACTGATATTTCCTTAAAATCCAGGACTTGGACTTATATATCTCTGAGTCCGTTTTTACTATGGATCTATTTTTAAAAAATATGAATTCTTTACCCCTTTCATTATCTATTTTCACAATTATTCTAAATAGGCAAAATAAGAGTTATATTTGAGCAATCTTTTAATTAGGAATTATCAAACTCCCTCTGGAAAAAAAATGCAATATAATACTCTGAATTATTATAATTTTCTTTTTTAACTTATGATGGTGAAAAAGAATTTTTCTTTTTATATGTACATTTGAAGTTAAGTTATAATTTTGCTTACATATATCAGCTGACGAGCTATTTATTTCTACCTGAGCTGGGGAATCAACTGTTTTTTAATTAAATTGAATTTAAATGTTATATCTTGATTTTTGTTCTTAACAAAGCAAATGTTTAACATGGAAAATTAAGACTTTATACTTGTAATCATGTTTAAAATTGTTTGTTACTTTATTATTTAAATTATTTGTTGTAGAATGCATTAAGGAAATAGAAGAGGATGATAAGGATTCTGTCTTGAGTTCAAAAGCTAAGGGTAACTTTTCTGATTCTTTAATATGTCTTATATTGTACCAATTTTAAGTATAAATTATTTATGCATTTATCTTGTATTGTTTTAAATATTTTCATATATTTTGTATAATTTATTATATGATAACACTCCTCGCAGCAAAATCTCTACAGAAAGCTGCTGGCACTGCAAATTGTTGCAACTTCTATGGATGTTTATACAGAATAGAATCATTTATCTGGTATCCAGAAAACCGGGGAAATTTTGCTTTGTTTTCCGCCATTTAGATATAGAACGATTGAGGGGAAACCAAAAAAGTGGAAATTTGACTCATTCTTGAAGTTAAGTAATGGAAAGTGTGTGTGGGGGGGGGTGTATTTTTCTCCCCGTTTGTTTAGAGAAAACTTTGTTACTTCTTTTGTGACCTTGATGATCTTTAGATACAGCAGGTGCAGGGAAGGGATAAATGTTTTATTTTCTCCTGTGTATCCGATAGAGCCGTTTTTCTGATAAGTTGCCGTCATTCATACATAAAGGAATGGTGTGTTGATTTCGTTTTTTCTTTGATATACGAGGAGGTGGGGGGAATGCATTTCTCATGTATATCAGTGAACAGAAGACGAAAGAGAAATGAAAAGAAATGATTATTTTATGAAGCAGATTGCAGCTTTCTTTTTTTTTTTTTTAAAGTGATACATTTCTGATTCCACCACGTTTTGAGTTTTCTTTCATCCCCCCCCACCATTTACAATAAATTTTGTACTCAATATATACTTTTTATTCATAAATTCTAAGGTGAAGTTTTTTTTTTTTTTAAATCAGTTTATTTTATGATATCCTGCCTTGTCCAGTGTTCTACTATTTATGTTAGTGCCTTTTTTAACTATTGTTTCTGTTAGGTACTTTTCAAGTGTTGTTTTTATTTAATTTGATAAATAAGTTTTCCTTGTATTTTTACCTTTTTCTTTGTTCATTATAATTAGGTATGAAATATACATTGTTTTTTTTAATCATTAGTTTTGTTTTATATTAGTTAATTTGATAACTTTAATAAATCTACAAAAAATAAATATGTGAATTTTAAGTAAACTTGTTTTTCTTGTCTAAACTTGTAAATGTTTTTATTCTTTTAAATGTTATTTTCCTACTGTTTTTTTTTTTTTAAATTTAGGAGAATTTTTTTTCTTTCTTATTTTAAGATATGTTACTCTTTTTCATTGTAATTTGGGTTCGCTAACACATCGATAAGCGGCTTTTTTTGGCCGATTCAGAATCCTGGGAAATTCAGACTTCGGGATACAGATGGTCCTGCACTTTCCGGTCCTTCTTTTCTTTATGTCATTACTAACATTGCAGTCAATGAGGAGGGAGGAATCTTTCTTAAGTTTAGTTTTAATACTTATAAATCTCAATATCTTAATGAATCAGAAAACTATACACACTTTCAGCGGTGCAATGACACGCTTTTGTCACACCTTCTGTGCTGTTCCCTCAGAGCACTAAAATTAAAACAAAATTCTAATTCCTTTAAAACTTGTTTCTTTTACTTTAAAAAATAATAATCAATTGCAACCAATAATCATATTCGTTAATACAACAATAGAGCACAGCGAATATTCCTGAAGATGAGTTATCTTGTCTTTTACTTTAAAAATTAACAATAAATTGCAACCGATAACCATATTTGCTGATACAACAATCGAGCACAGCGAATATTCCTGAAGACAAGTTACCTCTTCTTTTACTTTAAAAATTAATAATAAATTGCAACTAATAACCATATTCACTAATACAACAGTAGAATGCGGCAAATATTCCTGAAGGTGAGTTATCTTGTCTATCTCAAAGAGTAGCGATAAAAAATGTCTTATAAATATATATATATATATATATATATATGAATTATTTTCAGCATATAGTTTTGAAAATAAAGTAAGATAGATTTTCATCAACATTTACATGTATATCCTTTGAATTAGAATTGCCATAAATTGAAAGTGTAAATCAAATAGCATTGTTATGTATTGTAATATCTTATCAAATGATTATTTGATTTTGAAAAATGCATTGCTAAACTTTTTAAATATGATAGGTAATACATTAAGATTTAAAGATAAAAAAGTTTCCCAGTGAAGTACCGAAAAGATGATTAATAAACAAACATTATTATATACTCCCTAATTTAACTATCAATAATCATTCTTTTAACTGTAGATCCATTACTTGTTATTTTTACCTTATTGTATTTGTTATTGTCTCATTATTATTTTTTTTTCAATTATCAGAATTGCTTAGACAGATGGCAGCAAAAAAGCAAGCAAGATCCAGAGGAAGAAAGAAAGGCAAGTTATAATATTTAACAACTTTTTTTTTTGTAATTTACAGCAATCTGTAATGTTTTTAATTATAATGCTTATTTAAAAAATAAAGAGTGTTTTATTATGTTTACAAAGTAGAAGATTTGGATTTTATATAAAATTGTTTTTTTTTTCCTCTTAGGGAGTAAACGAAAAAATGATACTGACACAAGGTAGGTCATGTATTGTTTTCTCTTTTGTTATTTTTTATACATCTATACAATTAGTTTAAAAGAATTCTAATATTTAGTTAACAAAATATGTTTGTTAATATCTTTCATCCATTAATGATTTAATAGCATATTTGTAATATAATAGTAACAGTGGTATTTTTTTTATTTTTAGCAACAATAATGAGGTTATTAAGCTTACTGCTAGCGCCAAGCGGCGGATCAGAGAAATCGAATTAGAAACTGCAAGGGAGTCAAAAAGGTTAATAAATATTTGTAATTTTCGTTGTTATTTAGAATAAGTTACAAACTTATTCTTTTTTTTATGTATATGATAGTTGTCAAAGTATTTTCTGTTTTAGAAGCTGTCATATTTAATTTCTGTATTCATTTTTGTTAAAATTATTGTATTGTTATGTATTGTATTATATTTATTATTTTTTGCTAAGGCACATACAGATTTATATGTATAAGAAATTTTATGTAGGCAAAGAAATCAAGAATAGATAACTTAGATTAGAAAAAATCTTTTTTTTTTTTTTTTAAATTAGATTTTGATTACAGGAGATTTTCTTAATAGTAAGTAATATCATGCTGATGTTTTGCCACTTAGAACTAACACCTATTAAATATTACAAATTCAAGTACAGCTCAATATGATAGAAAATTTTTTATTATGTTTATTTATCAGTAAATAAAAGTTGACATTTTGGCACTGGTAATTAGCACTTGCTTCATACGCTCAAGCATTTTCTTTTTTTGTAAAAATTTAAATTTGGAAAAAAATTCACTTTTTGAATTAGTAGCAATATTTTTATGCTTGTTTGATTAACTGACCTGATCTTGAAAATTTCATTAAGTTATTGCTGTGCAACATACCACTTGCTTTTTTATGAGTTACATAAAATTCAGTTTTTTATATAATTAAATTGCCAATGAGAAAAAAACCCAAAACCAATTAGGACCTTTTCCCACTGTTACATTAGACTTTTTTTTTATATAGATTATTTATTTTGTAGAATGGAGGAAGAGAATAAACTGTTGTTTGCCAAGTGCAATAATATTCTCAACTTAGATTCTCCCATTGTGTTGGAAAATGAAGAAGATACCAATCGAGAAATCGCTATTAAAGTCAAATATCAATTTAAAGTTTCAAAAGTGAGAGTTACAGAGGTGAGTATTCCATTCATGTTTAGTTCAGTTGGTCAAAAAGTTTTACAAAATGATTATGAAATATTTCTCATAATACAGTAAATAGAAAAAGTCACGACTAAGTCATATATTTTCTAATGTAATATTGCTATGTTAATGGCAGTATTGAGGTCTGCCTTCAATGTATTCATATTATTCCTACTATTTAGGCAGTTTGGACTTTCTTGCAAGAAGAAATTTAATACACGCAAATATTATTATTATTTTGTTAATCCCTTAACGATCTGTTAATTTTCAAGAAAACGGTAATAAAAGTGCATATTTTTTTTATCCCTGAAAATTTTACAAAAATATGTGTATGAACAATATATATATTCATTTTTAATTTGTTTTTATTTTAAAAATTTTAAAAAATAAATTTTTAGGAAAAGCCAACATTCAGGGTCTATGACTAATGTTGGTTTTGAAGCAAGCAAGGAAAATTTTAAAAATATGTGTTTTAAACATTAAAAAAGAATTTTATTAAACTTACATATAGTATAAATAAAGATTAGTAATTTTTTCTTGTGTGATAAATTTCAAAGCATGAGATATAGAGGCCAACGTCACAATCTGGACGGTAGTACCGAATTTCCTTCCTACATCTCTTATTGTTTTCATATCTTCTAGTTTAAAAGAAACTATCTATCTACAATTACCTTAAAAATATCCCGGTACTTCCACCTGGTTCTTAAAATGAGAAATAAAATGTTTTTTGGGCAAAAGAAATGAATTAGTTTTATTCTTTTTGGCCCGTTACTACTGAACACTTCAGCCCGGAAATATCACAAGAGCAAGAAATAAAGGGCGAAACATCACCCCATCATTTTCACAGGAGCAAGAAGGAAGGGGTTAAGCTAAACAAAGAAATTTAATCCCCAATTTAATATAAATCTATGCAAGCATTTTTTAATGAAGAAACTCAACAAATAAGTTTCACAAGCACTTAACAAACTTCATAACTCAAACACTTAATAAAGAAGACAAAGAAATTAAATCCTCAAATTAGTGTACATTTATGCAAGTATTTTACTAAACAGTAATCAGTTCATTACAATGTTTCCTTTATTTTAACTACCGTAAACCGGGGCGAGTCTACCCATTTTTTCAGTTTGTCAACTTTCAAGTGGTCAAACTTTTGTAAATAATTATGAAAAAAGGCTTTTAATAGGTGTTTCGGAATCGCTATCTATCCCTCTTTAAAGCTGTGAAATCGATTTTAGAAAATATTAACAGTTGTCTGTTACTGTATATTTTTATAGAACTGCTGACAAATCCCTCGTATGGGGCGAGTCTACCCATTCTACTAAAATGAATGTTAACATTGTAAATAATCAAATTTTACTATTAAATTGTTATTTTAGTTACTATATAGGATATTTATGAAGTGAAATTCATAACTTTATTATATATTCCATTTTTTTATTCATAAAATAACACATATTGAGTATTTGATTGATTATCACATTTTGATCACAGTTTTGTTTTTATAATCATTAACATTATAAAATAAAAAATTTTCTGATTATTGTTGATAAAAATAAATTAAAATTAATATAAATTTACAATTAAATAATAATAATTAAAGATTATTAACAAAATCGAAATTCAAACATTGGGAATCATGAAAAATCCTTTTCCCATTCTTTCGGGAGGTAATAATAATTTATAAATAATTATTTATTTAACTTGCATTAAATAAAAAAAGTTAATTTTGTACTATAAAAATTGAAAAAATAGGTAAAATAAACATATTTTATATTTACATTTATATTTAACCTATAAATTTTCTTATTAATGATAAATTTATCA